AGCTCTCTTTTGGTTGTTATTAGCATGGAATTTTTTTTTTCATTCTTTCACTTTCAACCTATTTGTGTCCTTGGGTTTAAGGTGTATCTCTTGTAAAACAGAATTTTTTAAAACCCATTCAGCCTTCTGATTAGAGCTTTTAGTCTGTTTACATTCACTGAAATTACTGATAAGGTGTGACTTCTGCCACCTTATTGTTTTTTGTGTGTCTCAAACCTTCTTTGTCCTTTACTACTGCTGAATTTTTTTCTCTTTTTTCATGTAGCATTTATTATTATACATTTCCCTCTGAGTACTACCTCTTCTGCATCTCATAAGTTTTTGTATGTAATACTTTCATTTTCATTTAACTCTTAAGAAATTTATGATTTATTTTTTTATTTCTTCCTCAATCCATTGGTAGTTTAATAGTTTGTTGTTTAATACCTATATGTTTGTATATGTTCCAGTTTTCATTCTATTATTGATTTCTAGTTTCATTCCTTTGTGATCAGAAATAATATTTTGTATGATTTCAATCTTTTTTAAATTTATCAGGACTTACAGTGAAATACTGTCTGATACATTACCAGAAAACTTTATGAACAGGCCTAAAATATTGTCTGATATAGTGCCAGAAGAGGAGCCCTTCAGGTCAGAAGGCACTAGAAATATGACAGGGGAAGAGCTACCTCCTCATAGCAGAGTCAACCTTAATGACATGGATGGAGTAAAGTTTTCAGGACCTCCATTTGCTGATGTGGCATGACTCAAATTGGGAAGAAACAGCTGGTGAAGAACCAGGCAGTGTTTTGTTCTGCTTTACATACAGTTGCTATGAATTGGAGCCAACTTGATGGCACCTAACAACAACTGCTGAATTTTGTATTTTGTTGATGTATTGTAGTGAAGCTTTTTGGTTCCCATCTCCTTTCCCTTTGTATATGTTTTTTATGTATTTTCTTGGTGATTACTGTGAATTAATATTATATTTAACACTTTGTATTTATAACGTTTTAGGGTAAGTTTTTATCAACTTAACCTCAGTGACATACAAGAAATCTGTATCTGTACCAGTCTTCTTTTCATTTTTCTTTCTTTCCTATCCATTCTAGCCTTCTGAGATTTATTCCTTGACAAATGCTGTCCTTTGGTCTCATATGTTGATGGTCCTAAGGAGTGCATACCTCCCTGGTTTTATTGTTCACTGCATAGGCTTCTCTATGTTTGGATGAAAGTTGAGCCATGGGAGTGATTTAAGTTCCAGGCTGGAAGAGTAGCTAAAGGCTACTCTTGAGGGTTCCATCAGTCTCTGGTAGACCATTAAGCCTGGTCTTTTTTATTATTATTATTATTATTATTATTATTATTATTTTGAGTTCTGTTTCACCTTTTTCTCCCATTTTGCCCAAAACCTTCTATTGTGATCCCTTTCAGAGTGGTCAGCAGTGTAGCCAGGCACCATCAAGTTCTGGTCTCAGGGTCACCGAGACTGAGGTTCATGTGGTCCATTAGTCCCTTAGACTAATTGTTTCCATGTGCCTTTGATTTCCTTCACTCTTCTTTGCTCCAGACAAGGAGAGATCAATAGTTGTACATTAGATGGCTACTCACAAGCTTTTAAGATCCCAGTCACTACTCAGCAAAGTACATAGTAGAACATTGTCTTCATCAGCACTTTATCTTATCGGGAATCCTTTGTATGTGACTGATTGCTTTTCTCTCACTGCTTTCAGGATTCTTTCTTTAATATTTGAGAGCCTAACTATGATGTGTCTTCCTGTAGATATCTTTGGGTTTGTTCTGCTTGGGTTCCTGCGAGATTTTTGGATTTGTAGATTCATGTCCTTCATTAGATTGGGAAATTTTTCTGTCCTTATTTCTTTACATATTCTCTCTGTTCCTTTCTCTCTCTCATCTACTTTTGGCATTCCTATGATGCATCTATTAGGTCTCTTGTTGTTGTTCCTGAATTCCATTAAACTGTATTCATTCTTCTTGAGCCTCTGTTCTTGTTGCTCTTCAGTGTCTGTAATTTGAACTATTTTATCCTCTAACTGACTGATTTTTTCTTCTGCTTGATTATACATGTTTGTAAGTCCATCTATTGTGTTTCTCATTTCAATTAGTGTCTCTTTCAGTTGCAATATCTTTTTTTATAGATTCTCTTTTTCTTCATTGTTTTCCTTATTTATTTTAACTCTTTGTTTTGTCCCTTAGTTCTTTAATTATTTTTCATGTTGTTTTATTATATTCTTCCTTATTTTTCGTTATTTCATCATTCCCAGATTTGTTTTCACTCCCTTTGTCATGTTCATTTGGACAAACTACTGTTTCTCTATTCTTAGTGTGTCTTGTGGCTTTTTTGCTAGAGTGTTGGAATTTTTGAGGGTGTTAATTTTCTCAGTTTTCTCCAGTATTTGGTGTTTTTGTCCACATTACTGTCTGCAAGAAACTCATAGGCAGGCAGAGCCTTCAGCCTTTGCTTACCATTTCTTCTCCTCCTCTGTGATAGCTCCTTTACCTCCTTGGTTTAATTAGGATTCAGAAGTTCCAGATTTTAGTTTTCAACTTTCAATCTCTCCCTAACAAACCAGAGAACAGTGGGTTGTGATCAGTCTGTCCACCAGTGGGTCCTGCCATTCTGGAGAGATATCACATATTAATCAATCTTTCCACCAAGGGATGCAGTCCCTTCTTTGTAGTTATTACTCCCTTCCCTTCTCTGTTTCTGAAACCAGGCTTTTAGTCAGAAAACCCACACCCAGAAAGCCCTCTTTGGGGCTAGATATTACCTTCTGGTTTGGCCAAAGACTCCTTCCCTATTCTGTGAGGACTAATTATATCTGAGCTGGCCTATAGGGAAATACGTACAGACTTTCCTCTCTTTTAGGGGGAAGAGAGACAGACATTACCCTGAAGGACTTCTGAAGATCTGTCTTGGTGCCTTCAGAGCCCCAGTAGTCCTGTGATAGGTGGAGGGGCACTTTCCACCTTGGAGACCCACCTTCTGACTCATAGGGAACCTTCTGTAGAAGTTTGTATGAGTCCAGCAATGACAGTAACCAGTTGCGGGAGATGTAGTCACACTCTGAACAGACTCCCAGAGAGGTTTGCAACAGCCTGGCAACCAAAAATTACCAGATGGGGTAGGGGGTGTTATGCACTTGTCAAATCCCCATGGATGTCTGCTTTGTTGCTATCAGAGTTTCCCCTGGTATATTGTTGGCTTTGAGTGCAGCTTCAACTCAAAACTCCTGCTTCCTTACACATGGCAGTGTCAGTCAACAGTCCTCATGCCAACCAGAAGTGAGGACAGACTAACCCTAATTGATTCCTAAGGAGATTTGTCCTGTTGATTTCAGAGTCCAGAGCTATGGAATATGCATGAAAGTAAATAAGAATGCTGACTATGGGAGCAGATTCCACTTCTGTAGTAATTCACAACACTCTTTCTGTTGACAGTGTCTGGGTGAGGAAGGTTTATCATTCTCCAAACAGACCTCCAGAAAGGTCTAAGTTGTCCTATTAGAGCCCACCCCCCCAACTCCGTAGTATGTTGGCTGTGGGTGTAGCCACTAAAGATGCCTGCTTGCTAGCACACAGAAGCTTTAGTTAGCAGAGTGATGGACTTCTTGATAAAATATTTTGGTGGAGTATTTTCCATCCAGAAAAATTACAAGAGAAAGATTATTTTCTTAAATTTTTATCTATAATTTCAATTGTATGATCCTAGTTTAAAAATTAAAAAATAAACTTGTGTTAAATCAATAGTATATCAGTATATTTCATTGAGTTTATTATCTCTTATATTAATCTTTGAATATGGGCTGTCCATTTATAATTTTAACACATTTGTACTAAGTTAGAACCAAAAATAGATCTAAAGTAGACCAAAACCCATAGATAAACTCAGCAAGGAAAATGATTTAGAAACTGCATTGACAAGTCAATAAACACTTGTAATTTCAAGTATACAACAGATTTTAGGAGTCAACACAAAACCAACAGTTCCAAAGGTTGGTAATATTAATTGGATATTAGCAAACATTTTCTCAAGAAAAAAGTCCACAATTTTCTCAGGAACATTTTACACAATGCAAAACAAATGTGCTCAAAAAAAAAACACCTTTGCTTTCTTGTATTAAAATACAGCCTTATTTCTGCTTAACCAGGGATTCACAGAATCCCTCATATATATTCCTTCAATAATGGCTTTGCTCCATGAAAAACAGAAATTCAAGTATTAGCAATCTGTCCAATGCCAAACACTATAGAGGAAGATACTCCTTATTGAATATGAGAGCTCTTTTGTGCTCATTTAGAAAGTATACTTCCCCAAGTAACCTTTAGTACTCTGGCATCTGAAAGGACAGTTGAACACAGTTCTGACTCTTTCAATATAATGGAATTGGAAAAGGTAAGCATTAGGTCTGGTGGTATTTTAAATACCCATAAACCACTTTTGTAATGAGAGAAACTAAAACACAAACACCGAACAGTAGCTGTCGAGCCATTTCTGACTGATGGTGACCCCTTGTGAGCAGTTCTTGGAAGGATATCACCAGCCTTAGCTTCCAAGGCACCACTGGGTGAATTGGAACCACCAACCTTTCAGCTAGGAGTTGATCACTTAACAATTTGTCTTGGAGGAAGTTCTGCTACTAAATTCTTCTTAGAACTGGTCATGTAAATAATACCTTGAAGAAACAGATTAAAGTTTGAAAGAACCCTGTGCTGTGACTTGTAGTAGCTTAGAGAAGAAAGGTGGTGGTTGTTGCTGTTATTTTCTAAGTGGGAAAAGAAGGAAATTGCAAAGAAAAATAAAAAGAGTCATGAAGGAGATAAAAGAATAGAAGGGAGGAAGGAGAGAACTGTGGATACAAATAAGAAAATGGGTCATACCCCAAGATAGATTCAATGTCTTTATATTTCCATTTTTTATAAGAAATGTTAAAGATATTTTAATCCTGTATGCTAATAGAGGTTTGTTTTTTTTTTTTTTTCTTTTCCCTTCATAGATGGTTATGTCCTTCGGAGTTATTTGGAGGACATGTAAGTTCATTTTCTTCTAATATTATACTTGTAAAAAGAATTTTGTGCTTTCCTTTAAGGATAATTCCTAATATAATTTAAATAATATAATTTACTGTCCTACCTAAAATACATTTTAAAACAATAGGCTTTACTAATGTCAATATGCTAATACTCATAATGAAGTTTGTTGTTGTTGTTGTTGTTATGTGCCGTCGAGTTGCCCCCAACTCATAGCGACCCCTCCTTGGGTTTCTGAGGCAGTATCACTATGGAAGTAGATTGCCCAACCTTCAGTTTAGGTTTTCATAAAGTGTCACTCTTTTAAGGAAGCAAGAAGCCCTTTCCATTCATGATTATACGTACAGTTCATAGTTTTAATATCCATTGGGTCTACACTCAGCAAATATTGTAGACAGACAGGTAGGTCAAAACCACTAACATTTTCATTAATACTTGGCATTTTACTTGCTGATTAATGCAGTTGGTAGAATAGAATTAATCAGGGATCAATTAGTGTCTACATAGTAGGTGTTAATCTCTCCTGTTAACAGTTTATCCTTTGGCCCCTACATGAGGGCTTTTCTCCATTCACACCAGGCATAGTACAGTATTAAGTTGGCTTAGACTGGAAGTATGCCAGAGAAGATAGTAGTCAATGATTCTTCTATTCTTATGAATAAGGCATTGTCACAGTCTGTCACAGTCTGGTACCAGTGTGAATCAGAGTCTACTGAAACATTATAAGATTCTCTTACTCATAAACCAATTTTGGAAATGAACTCGAAGATTAGGTCATATGCCAACTGAGAGAAATCAGCAAAATGAAAGAATCATGCAGAATTCCCAAATGGTGAATCCATAGACATCCTGACACCAGTCAAAAGAGATCACTATTGGTAAGTGCTCTGAAAGAAAACTAGTAAATATGAAAGGAAAATAATCATAATATTTTTATTTCCCTAAGAATATTGATCCTGGTAGGCATGGGAGTTTTTAATAGATTTTCCTCCATGAATGAAACAAATTTCAGGTAAAGCATGTGGGCAAATAATGGGACAATGTCTTTATCACCAATTATTACATGATGATTAAGTCACAATTTAGAAAGTATACTCTAAGTAATATTGGCATACCACCAATTAAATACTAAATAAATTTTTATTGAATGAATATTGGGAAAATCTGTCATCTCAGCATTTGTATAAAATTTTATTAGCCAAAACCTCCCTTAATTTCAGAGAAAGAAGCAAAATAGAAGGCACAGGGAAATTATAGCATCTCTTATTCAAAGTTGGCGGCACTTTGAATAGCCTGATGCTGGCTCCAGGATAAAATCTCAAAGACAGTGCAAGAGTGAAAAGTGTGTCTGGTCTAAGGCACAACCACCTTACATTTCTGAACTTTCATAAAGCTCAAGGCTATGTTAATATTTGTAATATAATATTTATAATACTTTTTCTTTTAATTACTTATGTAAGGTGTCATTCTCGATCCCATTAGATTATAAGCTGGTTGAAATTATGATCTGTGGCTTACTCATATTTATTTCTCCCTATATAGGGAGCTCTGGTGGCTTAGTGCCTGAGGCATTTGACTGCTAACCAGAAGGCTATTGGTTCAAACCCACCAGCCACTCCTCTGAATGAAGGGTGGGCAATCTACTTCCATAGTGATACCACCTGGGAAATCCAGAGGGGTAGCTATGAGTCGGGTCCAACTCGACAGCAGTGAGCAATATGTGTATATATTTGTAGGAGGGGCTCAATATATTTGTTGAGTAAAATATGTCACAGAGGTGCAAGACCATGAAAAATCTAAAATGTGTAGAAGTAGCTAAAAATACTATCGTAGATGCTTTCTATAATCATAAAACAATATTTTTTAGAATAATATAACATGAATGTCACCACAATAATCATATCTTGGCTACTAATATAGTAATTACTATCTGTGCATTTTCAAATTAATATATATTTAATTGGAAACATGAAAATGATGCAGCCATTTCCTATGCCAAATACTATTGTATTTACTTCAACATTTGAGTTCAAGTGGAAGTATAAATCTACAATTAATGACTGTAAAGAAATTGTTACAGTTTTAGATTGAGGCCCCTAGTAGAGTATTGCATTATGGTTGGCATCCAATTAGTTCAGTTCAACGAACATTTCTTAGTATAGTTGTGTGCCAGGTCCATACTAAGATCTAAAGATGAATAAGACATGGTTTATCCTTTTCAAGTATGTTTCAATTATTCTATATACCTAATACTGAATAAATTGTGGGACTGTTTTAGCATGAAAGAGAAGATCAGAGTAAGCTATTGAAAGAAGAGATACAGATGAATATGATATTCTTCATTAATAAATGCATCACATGTAACTTCTCATTCTTGAGTGCTTCTATTATATAAAATCATATCATTTCTCTTTTCTTCTATATAATGTTTTGATATTAAGAAGATAATTCTTTAAAATAAAGATCATTTTCTACATTTTCAGGGATGGAGAGATCTATGATGATATTGCTGATGGTAAGTCTCAAATGCCAGTCACCACAGGTAACAGTAACAGTGAGTTCACTAACTTATTTTCATAAACACTAAAAATATCTTGTTGGATTGATTAAAGACTTCCAAATTCATCAGAATTCAAATTACCTGGAAATCTTGGGAATGGTAAATGCTCTGGTATAATGGAAAGAACATTTCACACAGGACTGGAAAATAAGAAGGAAACTCATTTTCTTTGAAAACAGAAGCATAAAAATAAATGGTAAATTTTTCATTGTACCATGAATCTTATAAGAATTTTTCCTCTTTGAGCCACAAAAATTTGTGTACCTACAGTACACTAACTTATATCCATTAAGTACCATATAGTATATTTCTAAATTATATTCTAAAAAATTATTCTCAACTGAAATGAGGCATAGTGTTAACAATATTGCCTTTTAAATCATTCATTTGTACTGTGATTTGGATGAAAGTTTACAGAACAAATTGGTTTTCCATTCAATGATCTGTACACATTCTGGTTTTTGACATCTTAGTCATAACCAGATATCTTGATAGAGTGAGTGTCTGGGTATGGTGGCTCAGGACCATAGTCTTGGGGGATACTAAGGTCAATTGGCATAACATTATCCACAAAGACAATGTTCTGCATTCTACTTCAGTGAGTAGCAACTGGGGTCTTACAGGCTTGGCCATCTAAGGTGTAACTATTGGTCTCTCCCTATCCAGTGTAAAGGTAAGTGAAGAACATTGAAGATGCAAGAAACAATTAGTCCAAAGGATTAATGGAACATGTGAACCCCAACCTCTATGACCCTGAGACCAGAAGAAGTAGGTGGTGCCTGGCTACCACTGCTAACTGCTCTGAAAGGGATCAAAAGAAGAGGATAGAGTAGGGGAAGATATGGAAAAAACTCAAAATCATAAAAAAAAAAGAAAGAAAGAAAGACAAGACTGACAGGTCTGATGAATACAGGTGGAACCCCTGAGACTATTGCCCTTTAAGTTAGGAAGTGAACTTAATCTTTTCAATATATGATTCTTAATAATATTTAATGTTTTCAACCTCACTCAGAATCACTATCCCAAATACATTTAACTAAATGTAAGATAAAATTACCACCATTTTGACAGAGACTAAATCTGTCTAGAAACTGTTAAAATTAAACAATGAACAATGAAAGTTAAATATATCACCTTCCACTTAACTAGTTCATCATAAAGTGAATGAGTTTTACTTCTTCTACATTGAAACCAGGAGAGTGTATAAGTTCTCATCCACATTACCAACCTGGGAACACTAAGAGAATGTATGATTTATATAACTATATTAAATTTGTTATGACTATCTTTAAATTTGTATTGTTTTTCTTTCAGGTTGCATCTACGACAATGACTAGCATGCATACTTGACCATGCTTCTGTGTTCATTATATGCCAAAATGAAGTCTGGGTTTTAATTGACATATTATGGGTATCATAGAAAAATGAATGTCCAAATCTACTTATTATGATATTGTTATTAAATTCTAATTACAAAGTTTTGAAATTTTTGACTTAGAAAGTAATATCTGGTTAATAAACATCTCAAAAGACTGTATTAATGAAAGTTAAGAACTATTAAATATCACTAGCAACATATCAAAAACAAAAACAGAAAAACTCTCCAATGTCCATGACTTACGCTCATGTTCTTTTGTTTTCCCAATAAAATCAAATCACTGTAATTACTGAAGAAAAAAAGAATTATTAAATATCCCATTGATGGATACCTACAATTATGAAGATACTTCTTCTGGACTGTAAACTGACATTTATTTACTCACCATCATCAAACCAAAAGGAAATCATTTGAGAAGCAATGATTGTCCTGTCTAGAGAAATATATGGAAGAAAAATGAAGAAATGTAAGGGAGGAAATTTTAAAACATTCCACAAGAATGTTCATGTCTCTAATTATGGTAGTATCTGATATTATCTATTATGCAAATTATCATTTCAAAAAAGATAAGGAGGCCATATCTCCTAACCTCCTCTAACCTCACAAGAGGAAGACAGAATCACCATCAATAGCCCAAGGCCTATTCCTGCAAGGACAGACATGCTGCCTCCCTCCAGCCCTTTCACCAACCATTCTTCCCAAAGCACCCACCACCTGTCTCCTGGGTTCAATAATTCACTGCAGTGGCCACACAGAACTCATAGATTATGGGGTTTATTAGGGAAGCACCAGGCTGCAATTCAAGTTCAGGAAGAATGCTCAGTCTCTCTCCCAGCCCACAGTCTCTCTCCTAACAGTCTCTCACAGTCTCTCCCAACAGTGAGTGTCCCTCAGTGTCTCACTCAGCAATGTGTGTCTCTTGCATCTCTTTCCCAGCAGCGCATGTCTCTTTCAGGAGCACATGTCTCTTCCAGCAGCATATCTTCCTCAACCAGCAGTTAGAGAGAGACTTCTGCCTCTAGAAGGCCTCCTTTTGAGCCTGGCAGAGTGGCCAAACTAGCCAACATAACATCAGAATCCTAAGCACCTGAGAGAGAGCAGGAACCTCCTAGAACGTTGCTTTGTGTTGCGCCCAACAGAAGCAGGCCACCCCCTGGCTTTTCTAGCCATTATCCCTTTTATACTTCAAAAATTCACATCCCCTTCACCATCAGTTTAAGAATAACCACACCCACGAAAGTGTGTAAGCCAGCCAATTCATTCCTTTATGTCCCCCCATTTTAGAGTGCCAATTTCTAATTTACCCGTCCCTATCAAACCAGTACTCTGAGGAGACAAGCATGGTCCTTTCTGGAGAATCTTCTCTTCTGCTTGCAAACTTCAGGCATCTGGATCCATAAACAAGCAAAGTCCAGCCCAGCGCAAGCCATCAAATTGTAGCAACTTAACGCCAGCTCAGTGTCAGACATCTTCCTCTTCGTTTGGTCGGGTTCTGGTCAGCTCAGCCCTAGCCATCCCAGCTAGGTCATGGGTACCAGCTGCCAAGTTTGGGAATCACACTCTTCCCTTCACTTCAGATCAGCCAGCACCTTCTCTCACATCTTCAGTCCTCAGGGACTATTTCAATACCTGTAGGCTCACAACTCCTTGCACTTCAGACAAGCCAGCCAATCATCCTTTAAAAAAGGTAGAACTGTCTTCTCTCCTGCCTGTGCGTTCTCCAAAATTATGGTAGTAGCAGACTTTTTGTATAAAATATGTCCTTATCTGTTGATTTTGAATATATATTAATTATTTTATAAGAATGTTATACATTAAATAGGCACAGCTGAGATAAATCTCTAGAAGAGTTTAAAAGAAATTTTCTTTTAGCATACTCATATGCTAACAGTTTAATCCTGTACTCTGTTTAAAGCACTGTTGGAACTATGCTAGATATGAATGACAGTTACCCTAAAATTATGAAGAATGGACCTTGAAATTAATTAGCTTTTTATGGTACATCATTACTATATGGACTATGAAGACTCTTAAAGGTTTGGTTTTATTTTTGTTTTGTTTTCCCCAAATTACCTCTACAGAAGTTTTGTTTTCTTTTATTTTTAACAACATTACTGGAAAGTTGGCCAGCAAGAGTACAAAGTAATAAATCCTGATGTTTGGACTATGGATATTCCCTATTGATATGTACTTATTTCCAAAGTAACCCAAAAACAAAACACAAAGCATCTGTGTTTCAAATACTAAAACACTAAACACCCAAGAAGATAGCAGAGTAGGTAATTTTTCAAATATCTTCCAAAATGTAAAATAAGCAAATCCTAATGCTGACTCTAGACTGTTTTCCCAACTTTTTCCCTACCGATTATCTCAAAGCTTTATAAACCTCACCCCACCTCATATGTGGAATCTTTTGTCTATTTAAAGATATATATGTTGATTAAATAATGATTCATGCATTACCCGTATTTTAATATTGCAGAGGCCCATTGGTGCTTCTGAAGAGTTGCCCACTGAGTTGAAATAATTTAAGTAATTGTAAAGGAACTCAAAGCCATCAAATGGATAAAGTGGGAATTTCATTATGTGCTCTGAAATTTGAAAATAGTTTACCATCTGAAATTGCTTAATTCATAGATTCTGGGGGTCTGAGACTCCCAGGTTAGAAATCACTAATTTCAAAGTTCCCCTCCAATTACAAAATACTTTTATGTCTATTTTTTGATATAGCAAACAAGTATATGCCTGTATGATTAATTTCTTTTTAATACTAGACAAAAATTATATGATCAAAGTGTTTATTGTTTGCTAAATTGGCAGCAAATAATACATCAACAGTATTTTTCCAATAATGTTTTTTCCAGATGAGAATAGCATAAATTCAATACTGTATCAGTTTTAGTAATTCCAAATTAATTCAAGAGAAATTTTTAGTTTTGGTTTATAAGAAGAAACTAACATACACATACTTATGAAAGATTTATATAATAAATGATTGTCTTAACATAAAACCTATTTGAAGTATTAATTGGGATGCCCTAGTATTTATTTGAGGAGCTCTGGTAGCGTAATGCCTAAGGCACTTGACTGCTAACCAGAAAGCTGGCGGTTCAAACCTACCAGCCACTCCTTGGAAGGAAGGTTGGGTGATCTACTTCCATAGTGCTACTGCCTTGGAAACCCAAGGAGGGGTCACTATGAGTCAGGCCTGACTTGATGGCAAATAACAAGTATTTATTTGTGTTATAGTTTTATGTATGGAATCTTGTCATGTGAGAAGAACCACAAATAAACAATACTTTCAGCTACTTCTTAAAAAAAAAAAAAAAAAAAAAAAAAATTGGCCATCAGGCTTTCTCTCCCTGAGTTTGATCCCATATCTACAAAAGTCTCTGTACCCATCCTTACTGCTTTTCCTTCAGTCTCAGAGGTTGGAGTACCTCCTGTTCAAGAACAAACCTTCCATCAATACCCCAATATCTTTGGCTCCTATTTTGTGACAGAATTTGAGTTAACTAAATGCAGTTCCCCACAACTGTCAACCTTAACCCATATCCAGAGACTATCCCAGAGGATAAAATATCTCACCTCCAATACACAGACAAAATATTTTACCTCATTTCTTCCTGCTTCCTCTGAAGTCTTTCTTCATAGTTCATTCATTGATTCCCTCATTCTGTCTCCTTCTTTCCCTCTCTCTCTCTGTCTTCTCTGTCGCTCTGCTCCTCCTTCTGCCTTCTTTTCTTTTCTCATACCCCTTTATCTTCACCTTTTTCCTTTGTGAAAATTATTTCCTTGTTGTTGTTGTTGTTATATGCTGTCGAGTTGGACCCGACTCATAGTGACCCCTTCTTGGGTTTCCAAGGCAGTATCACTATGGAAGTAGATTGCCCCATCTTCCTTCCTCTAGACTTACAAATATGCTAAAGCTTTTCCTATTTCATAAACAAGGTAATATTTCACCTGGAACTGACATCTCTCTAACTACAACTAGTATCTGTCTTCCATTTCTTACCCATTGTCTTAAAATGGGAGGGTACAGGTGGAAGTGAAGAGAATTTTCTTTGCACTCCTCCAACTATAGGAAGCTTCATTGACCAAAGCCCACAGCATTGTGCTCTGAAACTCATCACCACGTTTGTGCCAAGGCCACACTTCCCTCAGACTGCTCCCAGCCACCAGTTGAACACAGCAGGAATTTCATCTCACTTGGATCCACAATCAACACCTATGGAAGCAACAGTCAAGAAATCAGACATTATTTTGCACTAGACAAATCTGCTGCAAAAGACCTCTCTCTTTAAAGTGTTAAGAAGCAAAGATGTCACTTTTAAGACTAAGGTGCGCCTAACCCAAGCTGTGGTATTTTCAGTTGCCTCATATGCATGTGAAAGCTGGACAATGAATAAGGAAGACTAAAGAAAAGTTGATGCCACTGAATTTTGGTGTTGGTAAAGAATATTGAAAATTCCATGGACTGCCAGAAGAATGAACAAATCTGTCCTGGAAGAAGTGCAGCCAGAATGCTCCCTGGAAGCAAGAATGTCCAGACTTCATCTCACCTACTTTGGTCATGTTGTCAGAAGGGACCATTCCCTGAAGAAGGATATCTTGCCTGGTAATGTAGGAGGGCCAGCGACAAAGAGGAAGACCTTCAACAAGATGGATTGACACAGTGGCTGCAACGATGGCCTCAAGTATAGCAAGAATTGTGAGGATGGTGCAGGACTGGGCAGTGTTTCGTTCTGTTGTAGATAAGATTGTTATGAGTTGAAGCTGACTTGACAGCACCTAACAACAACAATATATATATATATATA